CCTCCAGCAGCTCCAGCTCCAGCAGCACCACTCCGGAGGCTCCAGCGCCGAGCAAACCACTCGCACAGCTGCGGTGGAGAGAGAGACTCCGGCCGCGACAAGGCACCCGAAGGGCCTCCAGGCTCAGCACACTCGGGCTCAGCACCCCCAGGCTCAGCACCTCCAGGCTCCGCACGCTCAGGCTTAGTACCCCCAGGCTCCGCACCCGCAAGCTCAGCACCCCCAGGCTCCGCACCCTCAGACTCAGCACCCCCAGGCTCAGCACCCCCAGGCTCCGCACCCTCAGACTCAGCACCCCCAGGCCCCGCACCTGCAGGCTCAGCACCCCCGAACACACCACCTCTAGCAGCACCAAAGTCGACAGCTACCTCGACAGGCTCGACAGGGTCTACCTAAGACACACCTGAGGGAGCAGGGGGGAGGGGGTCTACTGGAGGAGGACCTGGTGCTAGGAAGAGCGGCGGAGGAGGGAGAGGGGCACTGCGGTAGGGGAAGAGACGGCAAAAGGGAACCGACTTGTCAAACGTGACGTCCTGAGAAGGCAGGACACGGCGCGAGGTGGGGTGGTAGAACTGCCAGCCAGGCGCGTCAGGGACAAAGACAAGGAAGACACAGGGAACGGCGCGGGAGGAGAGCTTGTCTGCGGACGTATCGCGGACAAAGGCTCGACATCCCCACACCCGAAACACCGACGCATCGCCAACCTCCCCCGTCCAATGCAGTGTGGGCGAGGTCTCCGGCAAGGAGACACGGGGCCAGAGGTTGAGCTGATGCACAGCGTACTGGACTGCAAACGGCCAAAGAAAATGGGGGGCAGCCGCATGGATCATGGACGTACGAGCGACCTCCATGACCAAGCCAATGCTGCGCTCAGCAACCCCATTCCGCTGCGGAGAGGCCGGAAGCGTGAACGTCTGGCGAATGCCCTCTGCACGACAGAAGGCCCGCAAGTGGTCGGAGGAAAACTCACCACCTCTGTCAGAGTGCAGACGCAGGACTGGAAGGTCCGTCTCGAACCGCTCGCGGAGCTGGAGACGAACGCGCGGATCCAAGGGATCAGAACATCTGGGACCTCCCCCTTGCGGCACAAGGGGGAAGACCTTGGAGTAACGCGAGTAGTCGTCAACAACCAGCAGAAAGTACCGCTCGTGGCCCTGTCCACGGACGCGGGCTGGGCCCCACACGTCCTGGTGGAGAGTCTGCAAGGGGGCCTCTGTCGGGGGGAACGAGGAGGAGTGAGGAGCGGCGCGCTGCCGCCCCTCGACACAGGGAAGGCAGGGAGGGGTAGGCGAGGGTGGGAGGGGAGGCAGAGACTTGGGAAGACCAGAGACAAGGAGACGGGAGTGCACGCCACGAAGGCGTGCCACAGAGGGGTGACCAAGACGGTGGTGCCAAAGGAGCGTCTAGTGCGACAGGGCGCGACATGAGCAGGGGGCAGCAAGCTGATCTGACGCAGACGTAGACGCAGCTACCTGAGGAGGCGCAATACTCAGTGTGTACAGACTCAACCCAGGCCGACGGATGAACGTGGCCAGGTGGCAACCGGTCCGGGAGCACGTACAGATCGCCACACGCTGCCATCCAGGGGTGAAGGTGTCAACCCCCGCATCCTAGAGGACAGCTGTGCTCACCAAGTTCGTAGAGAACGAGGGGGGGTGGAGATCTGACAGTGACCCAGACGGAACCGCCGGACAGGGCAGAACAGTGGAGGAACATACAAAAACTGGGCCCTCAGAGGGGTCAGCCAAAGACACAGCAACTGGTGCAGTAAGTGGTGTGACTGTGGTATTGTCGCAAAAGAAACAGCAGGAAGCACCTGAGTCAAGCGTGAAGGTGTGCAGGGCCGCAGCAGACTCAGAACCAGAGAGAGTAGACTCACCAGCACCTAGGGCAGCAGACTCACTAGCACCTAGAGCAGCAACCTCTCTATACCTAAGTCTGGCGGCATACACAGGTAACAGTCACCCTCAGCACTAACAGACAATGCATACATGGCAGATAGGATAGCATCAAAGTCTAGAGCAAAGATATCAACATTCTGCCTAAGCAATGCCGCCCAGTCGAGGAGCTCAGCCGCGTCGAGGAACTCTGCGCGGAAGGCGTCGGTAAGGCGGTAGAAGCAGCGGTGCTTAGTGTGAGACCCCCCGCATGTCTGACCAGTGCGGTCACCTGTGCGAATGACAGACGGGCAGGGACCACTACCCCCAGCCGCCCCACGCTGAGCAAACCACTCACGGAGCTCCTGAGACGAAAGGGGCTGACGCTGCTGCTGCCGCTGGCCACCTCCAAGGCCTCCCCTCTGGCTGGTGCCACCCCTGCCGCCCCCACTACCGCCGCCTCCACCCCCATTACCGCCACTACCGCCGCCACCACCGCTGCCGCCACCACTCCCACTGCCGCCACCGCCGCCGCCACCTGCCCCGCCGCCCCCACCACCACTACCTCCTCCACCGCCGCCCCCACCACCGCCTCCACTTCTGCCATCCCCACCTCCCCTGCCTCCCCTGCCCCTGCCGCTGCGGCGCCTCCCACTAGGGGTAGACGCAGCTCCTACCTCCTCAGCTCGAAGGTAGTCAACAGCTGCAGCAGAGGCGACTGAGGGGAGAAGGGGGGAGGGCGAACACCCCTCAAAGAAGGGGGTGCGAGGAGTGCCACTAGAAGCGCCTCCAGCCACTATGCTAGTGTCAGCTGCTAGCAGGTGCTTCTCGAGCAGGTCGACAGTGAGGTTGGTCGGGTCAAGTGCTAGGAGGAGGTCCCTGACTGCAGTAAGAGAGTCAGGGAGGCGGGTGACTATGAAGTAGAGCGTGATGTACATGGGGGGGGGGGGGGTCTTGGTGAGAAACTCGGCGGGGAGCGCAGCACGGTAGCGAGTGTCACTAGTGCGGAGGTGAGTGACTAGGTCGGCTACTGTGGCAAAGGCGGACAGGTCTGGGAACAGGTAGGGCAGGAGAAGGCGGCCAAGAGCAGCAGTGGCCGGGGAGGAGTAACGAACGACCACAGCGTTGTACAGTGCTTTCGTTGTCTTATGCTGGCCAAAGTGGGCGCGTTCGGCTAACGGCAGGTGGTTGCGAACGGCTAGGCGAACAGCAGCGTCATGGGTAAGCCACTGTGAGTGGGTCGCATTGTCAGCTGTGGCGTCAGGGGCGGGCGGGGCGCCAGAAGTGAGGTCAAACAGCGAGTTACCGTCCTTAGAGTCTGTCAGCGGGAACAGCTGTAAATCGTCTAGCCATGCAGCGAACTCTATCGGGCGGCCCTCCGAATCGAAAGTGAGAACATTGAGAGTGGCCATAGCAAGCTAGGCAGGGGAGCGCCCTAGCAGTAGTGCAGCAGAGAGCGGCGCGTGGCGCGCACAACAGGGCAGGGCGCATAGCAGGGCAGGGCGCGCACGGCAGGGTAAGGCGCGCACGGCAGGGCAGTGGCGCGACGGGTGGGGTAGCGCTACTCGGTGGGCCCTAAGAAATCGGTCCTAGGCTAGGACCTGCTCTAATACCATGTCAGAATAACGAACAGGAATAAATAAACTAGTAGGAGGATGGGTACAAGTAGGAAACCCTAATTTGTGTTGTACCCTATATGGGCTACCCCACTACAGCCTACACAACAAGCAGCACATATAGTTTGACAAAGTGCACCCTCATGACGAACGTCCGCGCACTTCTGAAGCAGTCCGGCCTCCCCCCGAAGTATTGGCCCTACGCCATGCACCACGCCGTGAGGATCTCTCGTCCACAACTGCCAACAGGGGATATCTCTCACCCCACATGGAGTGGATCAGGACAAGGGGAGGCACCTCCATGCTGAAGGTTTGGAGATGAATGGTTCGATACAGGCGGACATGTGCTGGGGGGTTCACCTTGGGATTAGCTATGAGTTTAAGAGGCGGCTAATCCTGGACATTGACTCCAACAAATACATGTGCATGACATTCTCTTCTATGAAAAACTCACCTTTGACAACTGGCTCGCGGATCAGCGAGCTGGCGCAACGCAAGCTTACGCCAACAGTGGCAGGAGCTTCGCCTCCCCAGAAGATGAGGTAGCAGCAGTGGGGCTCGACCGTAACACCACCGATGATAATCCCGGCGTACCTCCTCGATCACGCGACGACGACGATGATGATGACAATCATTACGCGCCAGGCCCTTCTCAGCGCCAGGCCCCTCCAAGGAGCCCTCCGCCTGCACACGAAAGCGACGATGCCGATGTGGTTGAAATAACCACCCTGGCACTCAAAAAGCGCAAGGTGTGGAAAACGTCACAGGCCTAAAATTATCATGTCTCCACACCGCCACGTCCACCGCTCCGCGAATCATCGAGCCTAAGAATCCACGACAAGCCCTCACGGGAGTTTCGTCTCAAGACTATCGCCAACGGCAGGTGGGTCGTACGCGTGTACGGCCAGTGCCACGGGATTGACTTCAACCAGACCTTCGCCCTTGTAAGCCGACACACCTCTGTACGAGTCCTACTCGCTATCGTTGCCGCTAAGCAGCTACCACTGTGGTAGATCGACGTGAAAAAAAAAATGTTCTTGTACGCGCTGGTCGATGCGACCATTTTCGTGGAGCAGCCGCACACCTACGGGGAAGGAGACCCAAGGGTGTGTCAGCTGAAAAAAGTCCCTTTGCAAGATTAAGCAGGCGCCGCGACTCTGGCAGCAGCATTTGAACAAAATTCTCCTTGAGATCGATCTCAAACAGCTACCGCACGACCCGGGAATGTATTGCCTCCATTTCAATGGCGACTACATTTTACTGACGGTCTACGTCGATGACCTGCTGTACACAGGCACCAGCAACGCGCTACTCAACCAGTTTGAGCAAAACCTGGCGCAGCGCGTTGACATCACCATCAACCACAAAGTTACACAGTCACCACGATCTCAGAGGCTCGCAAGGGTTCTTTCAACCGAATAAAGGTACCCTGGTTGTGGTGAATTCAAGTTAAAGGATTTTGAACTTGACAATCGCCATGCTGTTATCGCGTTTTACAATTTACAGGATGTTCCGCGGCGAGAGCTCGTCACAGGTCGGACTTCGTGCCACCAGTTGGGTCAACTTATACATGCAACAGGCCTGCCACCAGAGTAAGGGGTACCCGTCACTCGCGCCTGTCCCGCACTCTCATCTAGTTCGCATCTCACTCTTGCCTAACACATATCGAGCCTAGTCGCGCCAGCCCGCTTTCAATCCCGGTGGCCCAGCACCTCTCGCTCCCTTCTCGCCACCCCTCACGGCCTCGCCTCGCCACTTCGCTGCTCACCCTCCTCTCGCCTGCCCCCACGATCGCTCGTGCAAAAGCTGTCGCGTGCCCGGTAGTCATCACCACGCGCACGCCCAAGGCAAGCAGATCGCTGTCGCCTCTCGCGCGCGCAAGAGCGATCGTGACGCGCACCGTGTCGTATCGCCGCGCGCCCGCGGCCATAGCGCGTCACGGCCCATCTGCACGGCCCATCTGCACGGCCCATCTGCACGGCCCATCTGCACTGCCCATCTGCACGGCCCCACTCACTCTCACAACCCGCCGCGTCTGCTAACGCACGCACCTTGCGATCGCCCCCGGGGTGCGTCGCGAGGCCCGCCCGCCCGCTCACACTCGCTGCGCCTCCCCACGCACCGTTCCTCCTCGCCCCTGCTTTCCATTCCCATTCTCAATCCTCACCGTCCTCCCGTTCCCTTCAATTCCCTTACCGACACCCTTTTTCTCCCGTTCCCTTCCTTTTCATTCGCTCCACTTCCTTTCTCTTCCCGTCACTTCCCCTCAAGACCTCTCCCGACCCCTTCCTTTCGTCGCGTCCTCTTCAATCCCCATCTCTCCCCTTTGCTACCTTTCGCCGCCCTTCAATCCCCATCTCTCCCCTTTGCTACCTTTCGCCGCCCTTCAATCCCCTTCCTTCCACTCGCCCACCGTTCCCCCCGCCCGCCCTCCCATGTTGTGGCCTTATAGCTAGCGTCATTGCACCGCGGCGAGTGCGAGCGAGGGCGGGCACAGGGAAGCTCGTGCATAGCGGCACAGGGAAGCTCGTGCATAGCGGCACAGGGAAGCTCGTGCATAGCGGCACAGGGAAGCTCGTGCATAGCGGCACGCGAATAGAACCTAGGCGGCCCTCACGGGGTGAGTCGCCCCACTGCATTCCCTCCATTCCCCTCCTTCCATTCCCCTCCTTCCATTTCCCCCCTTCCATTCTCCCTCCTTCCATTTCCCTCCTTCCATTTCCCTCCTTCCATTCCCTTCCTTCCATTGCCCTCCTTCCATTCCCCTCCCCCTCCTTCCCTTCCTGCCCTTCCCTTCCCGCGCTTCCCGTACCACCCTTCCGTCCCTGCCCTCCCATCTCTCCCTCCTGCCCTCCCGTCTCCCCGCCCTGCCACCCGTCTCCCCCCTGCCCTCCCATCTCCCCGCCCTGCCCTCCCATCTCCCCGCCCTGCCTCCCATCTCCCCGCCCTGCCCTCCCATCTCCCCGCCCTGCCGTCCCGTCGCCCCTCTGAGTGCAGGGCGCGTGACGGGAGGAGCAAGGCGGCCATCAGTGCATGCGGCCCGCCATGGCGTCGCTGCCCTCCTCCTACCTCGTCGCCGGCTTGCTTGGCCGCCCCGGCGCTGCCAAGGCCATGGCGCGCACCGACGCCGCGCCCGCGGATGCGGCCACCGCGGGCAGCAGCGGGGGGGCGGGCAGTGGCGAGGGCGGGCAGTGGTACTTCAGCCGCGAGCACATCGAGAAGCACTCGCCGTCGCGTGCTGATGGCATTGACTTGCGGCGTGAGACGTATCTGCGCCGCTCCTACTGCACCTTCCTGCAGGACCTCGGCATGCGCCTCCGCGTGTACGCCCTCACCCCCCACCCCACCCCCGCGCCTCACGCCCTTCCCCCGCGCCTCGTGCCCTTCCACCGCGCCTCATGCCCTTCCCCCGCGCCTCATGCCCTTCCCCCGCGCCTCATGCCCTTCCCCCGCGCCTCATGCCCTTCCACCGCGCCTCATGCCCTTCCCCCACGCCTCGTGCCCTTCCACCGCGCCTCATGCCCTTCCCCCGCGCCTCATGCCCTTCCACCGCGCCTCATGCCCTTCCACCGCGCCTCATGCCCTTCCCCCGCCCCTCACGCCGTTCCCCCGCGCCTCAACCGTTGCTCTTGCCTGACCTGCTCGCATGCATTGGGCAAATGGCCCGCCAGTCTGCTCGCATGCATTGGGCAAATGGCCCGCCAGTCTGCTCGCATGCATTGGGCAAATGGCCCGCCAGTCTGCTCGCATGCATTGGGCAAATGGCCCGCCAGTCTGCTCGCATGCATTGGGCAAATGGCCCGCCAGTCTGCTCGCATGCATTGGGCAAATGGCCCGCCAGTCTGCTCGCATGCATTGGGCAAATGGCCCGCCAGTCTGCTCGCATGCATTGGGCAAATGGCCCGCCAGTCTGCTCGCATGCATTGGGCAAATGGCCCGCCAGTCTGTGCGCCATCAGATCATGCCAGGGCCTGTGACTGTGCCACGTGGCATGTACACGACATGCATCACCTTACCTCACCTCACCTCACCTCACCTCACCTCACCTCACCATCCCCCACCTCACCCCGCACAACACCCCCCCATCCCCCGTTCCCCCCTTCCCCCGGGCGCCCCCAGGCCGCAGATAACGATAGCGACGGCCATCGTGTTCTGCCATCGCTTCTTCATGCGCCAGTCGCACGCCAAGAACGACCTCTATGTGCGTTGCCTTGCCTTGCCCTCCCACCCATGGGCCTTGCCCTCCCACCCATGGGCCTTGCCCTCCCACCCATGCGCCTTGCCCTCCCACCCATGCGCCTTGCCCTCCCACCCATGCGCCTTGCCCTCCCACCCATGGGCCTTGCCCTCCCACCCATGGGCCTTGCCCTCCCACCCATGGGCCTTGCCCTCCCACCCATGGGCCTTGCCCTCCCACCCATGGGCCTTGCCCTCCCACCCATGGGCCTTGCCCTCCCACCCATGGGCCTTGCCCTCCCACCCATGGGCCTTGCCCTCCCACCCATGCGCCTTGCCCTCCCACCCATGGGCCTTGCCCTCCCACCCATGGGCCTTGCCCTCCCACCCATGCGCCTTGCCCTCTCTGCTAAGTTTTCCCGTTTCTGCGAGCCTCAGGTGCCACACACGAGTGTGTGTGCCATGCAGTGTATGTGTGTGTGTGTGTGCGTGTGTGTGAGTGTGTGTGTGTGTGTGTGTGTCACATGTATGAGTGTGTGTGGCATACACGAGTTTGTGTGCGCGTGCGCCAGACACGAGTGTGTGTCGTGTGCACAGCAATTCCTTCACGCGTCTACCATGCATGCCTCCTTCACCAAACCAACGTCTGTGCCCTCCCCCCGTCCCCCTGTGCGTCATGCCGCCACCTCCTCCCTCTTTCTCCCCCCTGTGTGCTGTGCCCCCCCCTCCCCCCACTTTCCCCCCTTGTGCTTCACGGCCGTGGCCCCGCCCCCGGCAGGCGATAGCGACGGTGTGCATGTTCCTGGCGGGCAAGGTGGAGGAGACGCCGCGCGCGCTCAGGGAGGTGGTGCAGAAGAGCCTCGACGCGCAGGCCCGGAAGGACCCCGCCGCCGCTGCCAAGCTGCCCCACAAGGTGCCAAGCTGCCCCACAAGGTGCCACACACAAGTTGCCAAGGTGCCCCATAGGGTGTGCATTCTGATTGCCCTCTCCTCTGGTCCCTACCCCACCTGTCCCTCCTCCCCTTTCACTGCTCCTGCGTGTCCCCCCTCCATCCCCCCCACCCCACTGTGTGGGGGCGGCACCAGGAGGAGCAGCAGAGGGAGGTGGTGCTGGTGGGCGAGGGGCTCGTGCTGGCGACGCTGGGCTTCGACCTGAACGTGGCGCACGCCTACAAGCCCCTCGTGGCCGCCGTCAAGCGCTTCAAGGTCGCCCAGCAGGCCCTCGCCCAGGTCGCCTGGAACTTCATCAACGACGGGTCAGCCCGGGGGAGGAGGGGGGGGAAGAGGGGAGGGGAGAGGGGGGAGGGGGGAGATGGAGGGGAGATGGGGGAGGGGAGGAAGGGGAATAAGGCAGGGAAGGTGGTTGATTGAGGGGAAGGGGGGACGGAGTGTGGTGATGGTGGTGTGTGGAAAGGGAGAGTCCATGTGTGTGCCATCCCTCCCGATTGTTTGTGCTGCATGTGCTGCCTGCCATCTGCATGTGCTGCCTGCCATCTGCATGTGCTGCCTGCCATCTGCATGTGCTGCCTGCCATCTGCATCTATGTTGGCAGATACGCTCTTGAAAGGCTGGCGTATCACGTATATTCGCTAGCGTATATGCGTGATACACTGATACGCTCTGAATTCGCGAAAATACGGCCGGGCAGCCCGGCGAAAAAAAAAATCCGAAATTGAAAAACTTCGCGACGATGTGCGAAGTCGCGAAGTGTTACCGCGACTTCGCTCATGTGCCCAACCCCATTTCTGAACTTCGAATTTCAAAATCCAAACTTTCCCACCCCCTCAACCACACATCACCCCACCCAACCTCTCAATCCCAACCACCCCCTTCAAATGTTCTTCCATCGTTTGCACGTATAGGTCGACGTTGCGCAAATGCTCTTCCATTTCCTTCCCGCATTTCTCCACTCTTCTTCGTTAGTTAGACTTACGTAGTGCGCCCTCGCATGCCGGGTGCTCACTCAGCCCGTCTCGGCTTCCCCATGCGAGCGTGGCTGGGCGCAGTGGGAAGGCGTCCACACCGCCCGCCGCAACCGGCTCGGGTCCGCCAAGTGTGCGGACCTCGTCTACATTGCGCACAACTGGAACGTTGTGCGCAATTGGTACAAGAAGGATGGGGGCAGCACGGTTGTGCCCGGTAACATCCCGGATGCCCCTATCCCCCCCGGCTATAACATGGATGAGGAGGAGGATGACATGCTGGGGGAGGAAGGAGAGGATGCAGTGCTGGCGGATGAGTATGGGGAAGGTGTGGTGGTGGAAAAGCCCCGCAAGGAAATCGGTTGTGGGGAAGCTAGCTAGAGGGTGGGGTGGGGTGGGGATGTATGGGGAGAAGTAGCCCCAAATATGTATTTCTGGATATTTATGAAATTCAAATTATGACTTGTGTTCTTGGAAAACAATCCCCCCCCCTGAAACAGGTTTTTTTAGCCCTGCCCGGGAAAAAAGTTTTACCTGCCCGCCCAGCGTATTTTTGCGTATCACCAGTACGCCAGCCCTGGCGTACCGCGTATATACCCAGCGTATAATACGCTAGCGTATTATACCCTGCAACGCGTATCTGCCAACGTAGATCTGCATGTGCTGCCTGCCATCTGCATGTGCTGCCTGCCATCTGCATGTGCTGCCTGCCATCTGCATGTGCTGCCTGCCATCTGCATGTGCTGCCTGCCATCTCCTGCTTTCCCAACCCCAACGTTTCCTCCCTCGTCCTGCCCGCTAACCCTCCACCCCCCACACCTCCCCCTTCCCCTGCCAGGCTGCGCACGTCGCTGTGTCTGCAGGTGCGCGCGGAGCAGTTCGCGGCGGGCGCCATCAGCCTGGCGGCCAAGTTCCTGCGAGTCAAGCTGCCAGGCGACAGCGACTCACCCTGGTGGGCCGACTTCAACGTCTCGCCCAAACTGCTCCACGGTGCGCCGCCCTCCACACATGCATGCATGCGTGCACGCCGTGCCGCCAGGGGCATGTGCTGGAGTGCGAGGGGCATGTGGTGGAGTGTGCAGTGCAAAGCCAATATAGTTTTCAGCGTGTGAAGTGTTTTATGCCACCTCGCCCACCCACTGCCACCCCGCCCACCCAATGCCACTTGTCTGCATCAGCTGTGTAATGCCGTAACCCCTTCTCGTTGATTCGCTGTGTAATGTTTTCACTCTCTCGTTCTTTCGGTGTCCTTGCACATCCTCCCCCTCCCCTCCCCTCCACCCCCACCCCACGCTCCCCCCCCCCCCCCCTCCTCCCCCGTGGCACCAGACGTGAGTGTGCAGTTGCTGGAGCTGTACGAGCAGGTTCGCCTCGCCCCCAACCCCACCTACAACGCCTCCACTGCCATCGCTCCCTCCGCTGCTGCTGCCGCCCGTGGAACCTCCCGTGGGGCCGCGTCCTCCCTCTCCTCGCAACCCCCCCTGCCATCCGCCACCACCACCAGCAGCAGCGCCCCCGCGCAGGGGAGGGCGTCCGCTGGCGGCTTCAGTGACTCACGCGGCGCTGCTGCTGGCGGCGGGGCTGTGGGCGCGCAGGGGGCGAGGAGGCACAGTGACGGGGAGAGGGAGCGAGACGTGGAGAGAGGCGGGCAGCGGGAGAGTGATCGCAGGAGGGAGCGGGAGGCAGTGAAGGGCAGGGATGGGAGGGCGGGTGGTAGCGTGGGAGGTGAGGGTGGCGCGAGTGGGGATGGCGGGAGGAGGGCGGGTGAGGCAGGCACAGTGGAGGAGAGGGGAGGGCGGCAGAGTGGGGGCGACTCAGATCACGGCGGAAAGGTTGGGGAGTCACAGAGGCGAGGCGGGGATGGAGCAGTGAATGAAAGGGAAGGGGGAGAAGGCAGAAGGGGCAGTGGGGGAAGCAAAGACGGCGTGGAGGAGGAGGATGGGGAGATAGGCGAGTGGTCAGGCGGGCAGGTGGAGGAGCATGGCAGCCCACCTCAAGGGGGGCCGGGCAAGGGGGGCCGGGGCAGTGCGGTGGATAAGGGCGAAGGGGCGGAGGGGTGGAGGAAGAGGAGGTGGGGTGGGGAGGAGGAGATGGAGTATGAGGCGATGCTGGCTGACGTGGACGTGGGGGCGCGAGGCACGGGGGGCGTGAGGGAGAGGGAGAGAGGCAGGAATGAGACGCAGCAGCAGTGGAGTGGGGTGAGGGATGGGAGTGGGGAGAGGCGGCAGCAGGTGAGGGCTCGCGTGGCGTCTGTGGAGGGAGGGGCGGGTCGTGACGGGGCAGGCGGTGCGGGCAGGAGGGAGGAGGGCGAGGAGGGTGAGGAGGGCGAGGAGGGCGAGGCAGGCGAGATAGGGGAGGCGGGAGAGGTGGGTGTGGAGGAGCGGGGCCGGGGGGATGCGGAGGATGGTGGGCGCGCAGAAGGCAGGGGGCGGCGGGGTGGCATGGATGTGAACCAGCATGAAGGGGCGGAGCGCAGTGGCATGGATTTGAACCGCGCCGTGGAGGAGCCAGCAGCAGTGCGCAGCAGGGGTGGGGCGAGCAGCCGAGGGCTCTCCGGTGCTGCTGGCGGCAGCAATGCTGCTGGTAGAGCCGACCAACGGGCGTCAAATGACGGAGAGGAGCACAGAGGGGTGCCTCGCGGTGCGTTGAGGCGAGTTAGAGATGCGGACGAGGCTGGCGATGGCGATGGTGATGGCGATGGGGAGAGTGGGAGTGGGAGACACAGGAGTGGTGGCGAGTGGGGACGGCACAAGAAGGCTCGCATGGACCCATGATCACCATGAGCATGGGAGCACCATGAGCATGGGAGCACCATGACGCCAGTCTCTTTTCCGTACTCACCCGGGGAAGCCATCCTAGGGCTCTGAATCAAATGTATACCATAGAAAACAAAACAGTTTTGCCGTACCCAGATGACACCATATGACATATTTGAGTCAAATAGATTGGCGAAGATGGTTACAGCAGTTGGCTAAGGCGATTATAGGTAGCGGGCGGCCAGCCCCTCATCACTCAGTACTCGGTACTCGATGCGCCCCTCATACGGCCCGAGGCTGCCCTCCACCACCACCACGCGCGCCATCTTCATACCCAGCTCTTGCGCCACATGCTGCACCACAAACTCCTCGCGCTCCTCACACACCGACACCACCCGCGCGGCCCAGCCACCTGATGCGGGCGGCGCGGTGCGTGCAGTGCGTGGGCGAGGCGGGCAGGTGGAGGTTGACTACGAGGTCACAGGCCACCACGGCCAGCCCGCGCACCCCCACCTCCGTGGCCAGCTGCACCCGCACCCCGCCATCCTTGCCGGCATGCAGAGTAGCGAGTTAAGGTCATTCGGTAGGGCCGAATGGATGGGAAAATGCATCCAGGTGGGGAAAAATGGTGGGGTGGAGTTGAGAAAGGAGCTGCACTCAAGCTGTGCAAGTACTGGAAACTCATCATGGCAACTACTGTGAACTTGTGATGGCAGGCATGCGGCAAGAGGATGGACAAAAGCGAGAGCGTGGTGGATGAAGGCAGTGACATGCATGCCAACCAGATGGCTAGGCAGTGACATGCATGCCAACCAGACGGCTAGGCAGTGCCATGCACGCTAACCAGACGGCTAGGCACGAGTACAACTCTGAACGGCACAGACAATGCAGTATACAGCAGTGGAGAGAGGACGGCAACTGACTGAGGCGGCACCTGAAGGAGGCAGCATTTGAAGGAGGCCACACCTAAAGGAGGCGGCACCTGAAGGAGGCAGCATTTGAAGGAGGCCACACCCAAAGGAGGCGGCACCTGAAGGAGGCAGCATTTGAAGGAGGCCACACCCAAAGGAGGCGGCACCTGAAGAAGGGCGGCAACTGAAGGAGGTGGCACTTGAAGGAGGGTGGCACCTGAAGGAGAACATGATGTTGGTGCACTCGTTACACACCTGCGTACACATAGAGGTAACATGTTGTATGGCGGAGCAAGGTGGTGGAGGTGGGAGTCAACAATGAATAAGTTTGGATGTGCAAAAAAACATTTAAGGATTGGCAAAAAAAATTGGTAGTTAGTAAGCGCCAAAAAGGGAGAAACGGAAACAAGAAATGGGTGGACAAGGTGAACAATTAAAAGTGTCCCTTACTATTCCATGCGCTGCTTCTCAAGTGGGCATGTGAGCATGGGGATGCCTGCGATATCGCTGTTGGAGTGCAGCAGGTGGTCGTAGACGCCGCCAAACACCAGCGTGGACAACAGTAGCACGGAGAACCAAAGAGGCCCACCGAACGACCGGGCCATGGTGCCCGTTGTGAGAGTACGACGACTTTACCTACTTGGACTTACCTTATTAACTTTATCTTGCTTAGCCTTATTTTATTATGCATGCTTTTGCTCGTTTTCCTTAGAATCGTTGCGTACTATATATTATTATAGTTATAGCACCGTTCTAGGTTGCGTGCTCCGAATTCTAGGCTTTTCGGTTGTCACCGACTTCTACCGAATTCGAGAAGGACCCGTTCTGGACGCTTCACGATCCACGGAACTTTCGCGTAACACACGGGTTACTGGCCTTGTGTCGAGCCAATATATAGCCTTGTGTTGATGGGTTGCGGAAAATCTGGCCCTGATCCGTTTCAGGGCTCGTTTAGGCCTAAGTCCTGATTTCTAAAGGGCCATCATTAGGCGGACCCTGGAAAACAAACAGATCAACCGCTCATCCACCAGGCCTAACACCCCACCCTGTTTAGCCTCGATGCATCCAACCTGACGAAGCTTGAGTTTGTGGTGGGCCAAAACTCCAAATCAACGTGGACGGGTTGTAGTGCCAATCACAGAGAAAGTAGCATGACTGCTTGAAAGAACGAGGCTATGTTATTTTCCACCCGAAGCCCGAAGCCTAAGTGCCGAGTTTCAACCCAGACCTGCTAAATTCTGGGTCGTACATGCCGGCCCCCCGGACTTGTCCGGGTACCTCAAATCCAATCCACATCCCTGGTATCGCTCTGCAACCCGAGGTCAACTGCCGGAGAATGCACTGGTGTTATGCAAATTGGTAGTGAAAGTTTGGCTATGATTGTTGACGAGGTGTCGGGTTGGAAGAGGGGTGAAGTGAGTGGTGTGAAGCGAACGCAAATTACTGGTTGTACACGAACCTTCTAGGCTTGGCGCCAAACCTAAAATCCTCCAAAACTCATCAAAAGTCTCATGTACCCAGAAGTTGTTTTGCAAATGATCATAGGGCAATCACATGGGTGACTTTCCAACCTGAGGGTACGTTCTCTGCTGGTGTCTTTTAGGCTGACACGGAGCCATGAACGGTTCAAATTGATGACGTGTAACGATCAGAGCTGCCAATAGCCTTGTGTCTGAAAACTTGATGTTTGCTATTCGGTCTACCTGGCCTAACTTGTAACGCAAATCTCTCCAACGCGCGTAAACAGGGCACAGGACACAAACACAAGCAACACCAGCACCGGCAGCACCAACGTCATCCCGACACGAGAGCATGGAACAATGCTCGAGCGCTGCTACTGATGGCACTGTATGCAAAGGAGTGTGCGACGACCATGGGACCACATACCTCGGAGTGACAGAGAACGGGGTCCTACAATAACTAGGGACACCGAGCTCGTGGGACAAACGAGAGCACCACGATATGCGCCGTCGCTGTGAATGCCGCTGCCGCACCGTTCAAAGGTCGCTGCCTCGCGTGCATTCAGCTAGGGCACCGCAAAAGCAAATGCTCGGATACAAAGGGGAAAGAGGGAGCCGAGCAAGAGAAATAGTCCAAGCAGCAAGGAAACACTAGAATTTGTAGCATTCGGGCCCTCTACTGACAAGACTCTCCGCTCGCCCGACCCAACCGGCCCTCACCAAGTGAGCGTACAAATTTGCTCAGTCGACCACACTCGGCTGAACATGAAGGGTGCAGTGGAAGATAGTCCTATACTGTTGAGGGGGAGGATTTACACAAAACTTAGTTAAGATATTTATGGACGAGGGAGCTGGTCACGACTTAATAAATACCACCACCTCACGGAAACAAAAACGGCATCTAGACAGATGCTTACCTGAGATCGACAAAAGACTGATCGACGGCACACCAGTAGCGATTCGGGAACGCGTGGACCGGTTTCGGATTCGTTGAGGGGGTAATTTCGATGGAACTGACATTTTACTCAACTGTGACTGGGTGCGACAACACTACCCACAGATGACTACATCGTGCGAGTCAAGGGTATCAACATCGCCTTACCTTGCTTGAGCTCGCCCGGGTCTTCGTCAATTTGAGTCAATGCCATCACGATGAAATGGGCAGTACCGGCAGGAGCTGACATGTACGCTTTTGACATTAGGGAAGCCGAGGCAGCTGAGCAACCGGACATACCGGATGACTTGGCGGTACTCCTGAAACAATATTGGGATATATTTTTCCCAATTACCTGCCAGAAGGGTTGCCACACCGCACGACCACAACATTTTACTGGAACTGGAGGCACAGACAACAATATAGTGATAGTTCATGCTGACACAACCTTAACTAGACGAACTTCGAGAAAAAAAACAATTCGTCCGAGCTCGTCACCGTTCGCCGCGCCCATAGTGTTCACACCGAAAAAAGGAAAGGGATTTTGCACGCGTATAGATTACTACGCACTAAACAGAGTTACCATAAAATCGCGATACGTGATTTTGCGAGCCAATGAACTGATCGACCAACTTCGCACAACCCGCATCTTCTCGTAGATCGACCTCCGAGTAGGTTACCATCAAATTGGAGCACATACAGGACATCCAAGTTGTTTTCAAGATCTTATATGAGAACCACCCTCTAAGTGTGAGTTTCTATAGGCCTACCTGGAGTTTTTGGGCCACATAATTCCGGCCAACAGCGTGGAAACGGACCTGAAAGAAATCGCGACAAGGACTGGAGCCCGTCGACGAACATGCTCGAGTTGCAAAGTTCTTTGGGGTTTGTCAACTACATGGCAAAGGTGATTGCCCCGCTGACTGACCTGCTGAGGTAGGGGGTTGTGTATACGTGGGGGGAGAAAAAACATGCTGCCTTCTCTGCCGTCTCGCCACCCCTCTCGAACATTGACGATCCTCACCGTCCTCGAGCTCGTCACTAACGCAAGCGACATCGCCGTCGGATCCGTATTGTGCAGGACTTCGTGAATGGCCTTCAGCCAATCGCGTACAATTCCCACAAACTTAACCCGCTCGAACGCAACTACCAGATACACGACCGCGAGATGCTTACATAGTGAATGCGTTCAAGATGTGGCGGTGCTACCTGACAGGAGCAGACGTGACAGTACGAACAAACCATCGCTCACCATGGTACCATTGCGCCAAACCAAATCTCAACCTACGATAGATTCGCTAGCTCCAATACCTCGAGTCCAAACAAGGTGCATCAAACATCGCTGACTCCCTCACCCGCCCCACTGCCCAACAGCATGCTGACCAAACCAAACCGCTACTGACTGGGCTATTCAACCACGGCTATCACACTGACCCATTTTTCACCACCGGCAATTTGCAATAGGTGACAGAGGCAAAGGGAGTTTACTTCGTAAAAACCGGCACCAATCACATCTGGGTACTGGCATACTCACTACCAAGGGAACAAGTACCGCAAGAGGCAGACGACGGGATTACCTCGGGTCACGTTGGGGTTGAAAAAATGGGACACCAGCTGCATCGGTATTAAAACTGACCAGAGCTATTGACTGACGTACAACACATCGTGCCCCACGTGTCAGGTCGTGAAGAATTTGCGAAAAAAGGAAAGCGGGTCAACTTCGGTCGATTCCGCCACCCGAACGCGCATGGCAGCAAGCGACGAGAATTTCTTCACGGGGTTACCCGCGAGCTTTGGTGGTAACGACACGACCATGGTCGTCGTTGACCCAATGACAAAAATGGCTCACTTCGCTGCGTGCAAGAAATCGATCTCGGCTGAGGAAACTGCTCGCCTGCTAATTGCACCCGTCGTTTGCCAGCACGTCATACCAGCCTCATTTCTCAGCGACGAAGACACGAAGTTTACAAGCAACTTATGGAAGAACCTTTGGGAACTATTCGGTACCCGGATATAGGTCAGTTTGTCCTATCACCCCGAAACTGACTGACAGACTGAGAGAACAAAATAGAACATGTAGCACCTGATTCACGCCACGTGTGGTGCCCCCCCAACCTGGGAGCAGATGTTGCCGCTACAACAACGCAATGTCAGCAACCACGCAACAGTTGCCGTTTTATCAGATTATGGGCAGAACCCTACAGCACCCATGACGCCGAGCGCGGACAACCTGACACAATGAGCACAGCTGTTCGCCGAAATTCTATAGGCTGCT